GTTGTTTTTCCCAGGAGAAAAGGGGAGGTTGGGAAGGGGGTTATAAACTAAAGTGCATGCGGCAAAGGAAACAATCCATAAAACTAATAGGCAACCGACAGAATGGGAAAAGATAGTTGCAAAGACATATCAGATAAAGGGCTAGTATCCAAAATGTAGAAGAAACTCACCAAACTCCACACCCAAAAAACATAGAATCCAGTGAAGAAATGGGTAGAAGATACGAACAGACACTTCTCCAAAAAGGACATCCAGATGGCAAACAGACACATGAAATGATGCTCAGCACCCCTCCTCATCAGGGAAATGCAAATCAAAACCACACTGAGATATCACCTCACACTAGTCAGAGTGGCTAAAATGAGCAAATCAGAGGACTCTAGATGCTGACACGGATGTGGAGAAATGGGCATCCTCCTACACTGTTGGTGAGAATGTAAACTGGTGCAGCCCCTCTGGAAAACAGTGTGGAGGTTCCTCAAAATATTAACAATAAAACTCCCCTATGACCCAGCAATAGCACTGCTAGGAATTTACCCAAGGGATACAGGAGTGCTGATGCATAGGGGCACAAGTACCCCAATGTTCACTGTAGCACTCTCAACAATAGCCAAAACATGGAAAGAGCCTAAGTGTCCATCAACGGACGAATGGATCAAGAAGATGTGGTTTACAACATGACAGAAACTATTACAAAAAAGAAGAACAAGATGTGGTTTATCTGTACAATGGAATACTCCACAGCAACGAGAAAGAATGAAATCTGGCCATGTGTAAGCAACACGGATGGAACTTGAGGGTGTTATGCTGAGTGAAATAAGTCAGGCAGAGAAAGACAGATACCATATCTTTGCACATATAGGAGGATTAGGAGGAATTTAACGGAGGACCATGGGGGAGAAGAAGGGGAAAAATAGTGCGGGAGAGGGAAGGAGGCAAACCATGAGAGACTCTTGAATGCCGAGAACAAACTAAGAGCTGCAGGGAGTTGGAGGGTAGGGGAAGGGGGGTGATGGGTATAGAGGAGGGCACTTGTGGGGATTAGCACTGGGTGTTATATAGAAACCAACTTGACAATAAACTATTTAAAAAATAAATAAAAATAAACTAAAGTGCATGGAGTAACCTGGGAGTTTGGAGTGTGGTGGCTTCTCATTGGCAGGGCTCTTGCTGGGGAAAAGGGGTGCTGAGTGGTGGTGACAAGGAAAGCCCTTCTTCCTGCAGCTGGGATAGTAAAGTAGTTCAAGGTCAAGTCCTTGTGAGGTCAAGTCTATCTCTTCCTGATTGGTCTGAGTGGTAGGGTGTGACAGTGACCCCTGCCGAACCTCCCCACTCCATTTCAGTGGGGGTCACATGATTAATTTTCACATGACAAAGGAACTTCTAGGATAAAGATATTGCTATTGCTCTTTGGAAAATTCCTGAACAGCATCAGCTGACACACCACTAACTTCATAGTTAAAGCTCTATGAAGGATGTATTTGATTACTTTCTAAAATGGCAGATTGAAGCTGGAGTTGACAAGGCTGGAGCGCAAATGTCAAAACCAACATGGCCCCCTGAGGACTGACGATAATACAGTTAAGAGAATAGCTGACGTTGATTGTGTGCTCACTCCGTAGCCCTTGGTCTGTGTTATAAATACCTTACACATACATCATCTGATTTCATCATCACTTCAGATAGGCACTGACATTATCCTCCTATTTTACAGAATCTGAGGCACTAAGTACCAAGGCAGTAAGGTATTAGGTAACTAGTTCAAGGCACCATGTAGATGTGTCTGCAGAGGAGGAAGGTGCCAAATTCTGTCACTGGGCAGCATACACATTCCGCAAAAGCTGAGAGTACTGGGTCTTACTAGCTCACAGTTGTCCCATTCTAAGGAGAATCACCCTTGGCCAAACTGAAGCCATTTCACCTGGGAATTAGTGCTCCAGTCCATTACCAACCGATGGGATACAAGATGCCATCTCCTGTCTCAAAGTGACATCCACTCAGCAATATAATTCCTGCCCCGGGGTTCATCATGTCAGGCTCCCCCAAGACCAAACTCACTCAGCTTTTCTTCCTGCTCTACCCAGGTCCCTTCAATCCTTTCCCCAAGAGCACTCCCTGAGTAAAACATTTGCTCCAGAACCCCCATTTCAGGCTCTGCTTTTAGGGAACCCAGCCTGAGACAATGACTAAACCTGAACTAATTTGTGCACAATAACATTCAGCTGAGGGGCATACAGGTGCTGAAATGCAGCCCAAGCCCTGTGGGCCCAGCTATGCAAAGGGAGCACCTTTTCCTTATTTACCCAAAGCCATTGATTGGTCAAGACTCAGTCTTGACTGAGCTGGGATTCAAAACCCAAGCTCTCCAGTTTCAGAGCTCCTCATCTCTAAATCACTGTGTGGTGCTGTCTCCTTATATTAAATGATACAAGTCAGACTAAGGCAAGGGAGGGGGAGAGCTGTGTAGATCCAAGGTGCTGTTCTGAACCACTTCTGAAAACAATCACAAGCTTCCAGAAGAGTCTGTTCCAAGAACTATGTTCCTGACCAATCTCGGAGTAAATGCTGACCTGTTATTTCATAATCTACTGTAATTCCTATAATACATTCTCCATCAAAGTCAAGGCTTGGATGCTGACACATTACTGCCATGTATTCATCAGAGCCCTCAATTCCCCCAACTATCCCCACAATGTCCTTTATAACTGAAAGACCCAACCCACTTGCTGAGTTTCCATGTGTCCCCTCTTTAGTCTCTGTAGTTCAGCCTGGAATATTTCCTTAGTCTGACTTTATTGAGAAATAAAATTCCAGCAAGTCAAGGTAAAGTTCTCATTGGCTTTATTAAGTGATTCATGAATCAACAGCAAGCCCACCTAACAGGCAGACAGATGCTCCCAGGAGGTGTACAAGATGCAGGGTTTTACAGGAAGGAGGGTGGGGCAGGAAGTGCTTAGAAGGAAAAGCAATGATTGTTTCAGGACTGGACCCCTTCTCTGGGGGAAGAACCTGCAGGGTTTCTATCTTGCAGATGACTCACCAGTGCCCATCAAGAAATTTCAACTGACTATTAAAAGGTCATCTTCCTGGGACAGGTTGAAAGCCTCATTAGTCTTGGTTTGCTGTGAGGTGGAGTTGGCAGGCAGGTGACTCCATTATGGGCTTGTTTCTTCTTTTTTTCATCACTGTCATGACCTTGACTTTGTTGAAGATTACACTCCAGGTACAGATTAGGAGTAGGTATTCCTCTGGTCAGGTTTGTCTGACGTTTTTTCAAGATTTCTTTCGGGTTTTCCTCCTCAGCAAGAATATCCCAGAAGTTATGTTCATTCTTTTCACCAAGTCCTATTGGGCAACACACCATCACTTCCTCCTGTTCCTGATGACACTCGTTCATTTGCCAGGTCTCTGCTCTGTGAGCTGCTCTTTCCTCTGGCAGCTCATGGGTGTTTTTTGAGTGGTAGTACTTTGAAACTGTGTCAGTGTCCTCATCAACTGTGATCAATCCTGTATTTATTACACCTGTGGATACTTGTGTTTTCCTGTTTTATTCAATGGGTCATAATCACTTCCCTCCCTTAGTTATCATGATGCCCAAATCATGCCGGATGGGCCCATGAAACCTTTTAGACTGTGTTCTTTGGAGGTGTCCCCATCACTGTTCAGGACAAGGTGCTCCATGCTCATCATGTGCTCCATCAGCCTGGGTCAGCCATTTCTCTGAAAAGCCCTAGTCTTTTCAGTGGAAAATGATGTTAATAAGCCAAGATTTGAGCTAAGGGTGTGCTCATTGCCCTTACAGTGTCACTGTTTCTAAGAACTGTCAGATAGGGGATATGTGTTTTCACTTAGGCACACATATCTATTTATCTTAAGTCAATCTACCTATCATCTACCTCCCTAGAAAAGCAGGATTTTATCACTGATACACTCAGTTCCAATCTCTGAATACATAATCCCATTCTGGTTTTCTCCCTTTCCATCTGCGACTCCCTTCTCCAACAGTGAGAAATCTGGCTTCCATTTATCCTTAAGATATTTACTTTGATCAGTTCCCCTTTATGTAACTAATCCCCACTCCATCACTTAACATTCATGGATGCCCTCCTCACACTACTTGTGTTATCTACCTATATTTAGGATGTTGTGGCTCTCACAAGACCACCCCTCTGTCTGGACACCCTTCTCACTAAGCTTGGGCTCCCACACCCATACCAGGCTGCTCTTCCATGTGGCCATACTCCCTGCCCTACTCTGTCTCTGTCTTTTAGTCACTGTGACTCTCTTCTCTGTCCCTGAACCCCAAGGTAGAGCTGCCCACCTGGCTATGCACCACCTATTAGTTTAAAACTGAGTTATCCAGAAAGGAAAGGCAGTAGTAAAGGAGGGAGGAGAAAGGAAAGAAGGGGAGGAGAGGGAAGGAAGAAAAAAGGAAGGATCCTATGCAGCTTCTGATACCAACTGATGGACAAATGCCTTTAGATTTTCTGCCCAATCCACTGACCAATCAACCACCTTTTATTTTATGTTCGTTGTATCAGGACAGTGGGGAGCTGAGGTTAGGCCACAAAGAGAAAGCATGTTCCCTGTCTAACAGAACATCAGGGCAGATGAGATGAAAACATTATATCAAAACTAGTAATAAAAACTGCCTCAATCAAGCGTTATAAAAAAAAATGTGCTCCAAAACTTGAAGAATTAAACTTTCTGAGAAGTGAGAAAAGTCACAGTGGATTGACTCTCATCTATCTTAACATATGTTGGAATTCTGAACAAGCCCCACCTACCCAATGACTATGATGGTAAAAAACACCATCACTGCCCCTCACTCATCAGTTCTATGGATTCCCCCTTAATGTGCAAGAAGCCATCAGTTAATACTTTTGTAAAGAGATGGTGATTGGCACACTCAATGTAATAGTTAATATATAATATTCAACATAAGATGTGTAATATAAATGTTACTACTAAGGTCACAACAAAATTTCTTGTTTCATGAGTTTGTTGACACAGTTGTTGAGAAATTTTTATTATCGATCAGTGGTCAGGGGAATAGATGGTACTAACTTGGACCGGATAGGCTGAGTTTACATGTCTGGTACTTATTAGTCACCTTCCTCACATTCCACAATATATAATGCTCCATGAATATAACAGGAGCTTGGAATCCCTAGTCATCCATCATGAGCAGTACATGAAGCCCATCTTCATTTCTGGGTTTTCCTCACAAAGTAAATTGAGGTCTCTGGTATTCTGGTACACAGCTTCTTGAAAAACAAAGGGGAAGTCCTTAGGGAAAGTCAAGCTCTATTCACACTCCCATCTCTCAGCTCCACCTTGAGAACAATGGGCTTTTCTGGTTGAATAATACCTTGAGCATTTAATTTCAAGGGGATCTGCAAAAGTTAATAAAGCATATGAAAACCAAAAATGAAGTTCTACTGACAACAGAAGCAAAGCAGACCAGATACATGAAGGAGAATAAGGGTCTACAAACAAATACTACTTTTAAATTCATATATCTCATATTCTTTAAACTTACTCTGTAAACTGTCAAGACTGGAGTGTGGAAACATTCATCCATAATTTATTCAAAATAATATCTATTGAATGTCTACTCTGTACCAGACTGGACACAATCTCATGTTGTTTTGTGTTTTTTGATTTAAATTTTAAGTAAAAAGGAGTAGTGCTTAAAATTTAAAACAGGCTCTTAGCCATTATGGCATACCACTTGAAAAGTGATACAGTTAATTTTGTATGTGTTGAAGCTTGCAAGATCATCCTGAGTGGGCATTACACATTTTATTGTATGGCTATCCTCAATGCTAAACATCCTCTCATCTCTCCCAGTGGAAATATCCATTCATGATAGCAGATTGCAATAGAAAGAGAACACAGCTTGACTGGAGCAGAGCTCATATTTGTGGCCAAATAACCACAATGGTCTGGACTGTGGGAGTCCTTCACATCTGGCAGACATGCTTCACACCCATGACTCTCAACATCACTTGTACATGACAATCAACAGGAGCACTTTTAAATCCACACTATGACTGAATTATGTTAGAATTTCTGAGATGGCCTGGGCAGCAGAATTTTTTAAAAGAATCTACTGATTCCAATGTACAAGCAGGGGTTGAAACCATGGTCATGAGAGCATCTGTAAGTTGTGGTAGAGAATAGCATCGTTCAAAAAGTCATGTTGCATTAATAACTACACCTCATGACTATGCATAATATGTTCCTTTTTTTCCAGTGGATTTGAAATAACTTTAAAACACTGTCAAGTTCAAAGGTCTGTGCATAATCAGTCATGCTAATTGCCCTGACTATATGTCTCTTATGATTGGGTGTTCATAAACCACAGACGTGACACTCAGTGCTGATGGACCCTTAAAGGTCACAGATGGCCCCAAATACATTCTCTGGCCAATGGAACAAATTATTAGGATAAATGGGCCCATACAAACACACACACACACACACACACCCCATATCTCTTAATTTTAAAAAAAGTAAAATATTCTTTATGTGGAAAGTTCTCTGACCTGTGTTTCTTCACAAGGTTTGAAGGAGAAGTTCTGCAGGAGTCTGACAAGGGCAAGTTTCATGTTCATGGTCGCAAACCTCATACCAATGCAGTTTCGGGGTCCAGTTCCAAATGGCAGGTATATATAAGGATTTATGCTGTCCTTGTTCTTCTTGCTGAACCTGGTTCCACAAATCAAGTTGGAAACAAGTTAATGAAACATAAAAACCACAAGAACCACATGTGTGGGTTTCCCAAAAAGGACCACACAGGACACTCTTCGGGGCTGGTCACTGTAATCCTGACATGGTTATTCTGTGGTGACAACTGTAAGCTACAGATCCTCTGCATTTCCCTTACCCTGTGGGAGCATCCAGTCTTGTTGAGATGATAAGATGAATGTTGTTAAAAATAAGGGTTATCTTAAACACTAGAATTACAGTCATGGTGGGGAGATGTTCATAGTCTTTTTTTTTTTTTTTCAAAAAAAATTTTTTTTTACAAATAGTTTATTGTCAAATTAGTTTCCACATAACACCCAGTGCTCATCCCCACAAATGCCCTCCTCCATGCCCATCTCCCCTCCCCCCCACATCCATCAGTCCTCAGTTTTTGTCAGCATTCAAGAGTCTCTCATGGTTTGCCTCTCTCCCTTCCCCCACCATTTCCCCCCTTCTTCTCCCCCTTGTTTCTCCGTCAAGTTCCTCCTAATCCTCCTATACGTGCAAACATATGATATTTGTCCTTCTCTGCCTGACTTATTTTGCTCAGCATAACACCCTCAAGGTCCATCCATGTTGCTACACATGGCCAGATTTCATTCTTTCTCATTGCCATGTAGTATTCCATGGTATAGATAAACCACATCTTCTTGATCCATTCGTCCGTTGATGGACACTTAGGCTCTTTCCATGTTTTGGCTATTATTGAGAGTGCTGCTATGAACATTGGGGTACATGTGCTCCTATGCATCAGCATTTCTGTATCCCTTGGGTAAATTCCTAGCAGTGCTATTGCTGGGTCATAGGGGAGTTCTATTGTTAGTTTCCTGAGGAACCTCCACACTGTTTTCCAGAGGGGCTGCACCAGTTTACATTCCCACCAACAGTGTAGGAGGGTGCCCGTTTCTCCACATCCTCACCAGCATCTAGAGTTCTCTGATTTGCTCATTTTAGCCACTCTGACTGGCGTGAAGTGGTATCTCAGTGTGGTTTTGACTTGTATTTCCCTGATGAGGAGGGATGCTGAGCATCGTTTCATGTGTCTGTTGGCCGAGATGTTCATAGTCTTAAAGGTGAACAGGAAATGAGCCTAATGAAGGAAGGTAAGTTCCTGCCTCCACTGACCTATTTTGGTCATGTGCTCATGGAAGAAGAGAACAGAAGAAATGCCTCCCATGATTTAGATTATTTTTTTTCCCTTCTCTTCCCTTCCTTCCCACCTTGCATCCCTCAACCATTTTGACAGAACAGCCTGTCAGAAGATTTACATGGGCAGACGATGCTGCTCCACTGTAATCATACTCGCTGATGTATATAATAATCACTGAATTCTTGGCCATCTTTTTCACGAGGCTAAAAGTTCCTGAAGTTTAGCCCTATGTTTTAATCAAAACTGATTCCTCAATGGGGTGCCTGGGTGGCTTAGTCGGTTAAGTGTCCGACTTTCGCTTAGGTCATGATCTCGCAGTTCGTGGGTTCGAGCCCCGCATCGGGCTCTGTGCTGACTGCCAGCTCAGAGCCTGGAGCCTGTTTCAGCCTGTGACTCCCTCTCTCTCTGACCCTCCCTTGCTCACGCTGTCTCTCTCTCTCCTAAAAATAAATAAAACATTAAAAAAAATTAAAAAAAAACTGATTCCTCAATATTTGATTATATTAAAGGAATATGTGGATTTAGGCAAAGTGATAATGACATTGTCAGTAGTATTTTTTTAAGTCCTTATATTATTGGAGCACCTGGGTGACTCAGTTGGTTAAACATCCAACTCTTGATTTTGGCACAGGTCATGATCTCATGGTTTGTGAATTCCAGCCCCACCTTGAGCTCTGCACTGACATTGCAGAGCCTGCTTGGGATTCTGTCTCTCTCTCCCTCTTTCTCTCTGCCCCTCCCCTGCTTGTGTTTGCTCACATGCACACACTCTCTCTCTCTCTAAAATAAATATTTTTTTAATGAATGAATAAAAGTCCTTATATTATGGAGAACATCCTGGAATATTTACAGATGATGTGCCTTAAAGTAATATGGCAATAACATTAGGAATTGTAATAGCATGTAGTTGGGGTAGCTGATACGCGTTAGTGGTTGTTGAGCAGATGATGGGCACATATAGATGAATTAAAAGTATTTCATAGACCTGTGTCCATAGAATATGCTTGTGCATGTGTCAAAAATTCTCCATAATAAGTATTTTCAACATGTTGATTTCTCACTCCCTGGTCAGTTGCTGACACACATAGGTAAACACTTCCTCCCATGACAGAATGAATCACAGAGAATATAGGGAGTCTCTGGTTTCCGTTAGAGAAACTACAGGAGCAGGGAATGCTGAGCTGGTGGGAACCACCAGGTCTTCTGGTCCAGAAATGACTTGGTCAATTCTGACTTCTTTCAGCAAGTACTAAGTGTAGACAATGCTAGCACTAAGGATACTGTGCAACAAGACATGTGCTCAGCCATCAGGGAGCTTAGAATCAGGAGCTAAGAGTCTGGATCCCTACAAAGTTCACTCCAAACTTTCATCACCACAACAATACACAGGAAAGCACCAACTCTTTGTAGAATTCAAGCTGTGCCCAAAGTCAGACTCTGCTCTGGATTCTTGGAGAGAAAGCTCAAGACCCTTCCAGGGAGGATGTCTCAGATGGCTAGAGAGCAGATGACACTACCTTGACAAACCCCAGATACCAAGAGAGGTGGGAGCTGGCACAGGACTGCAGCCACACGACCTGTGTGTGTCCCCATCCTCATGAGGCTGTTCCTCTTGCCAGGTATGAGGACTCTCAGTTCCACAGCCTCTCAACTCTACAGCTAGTGGAAACAGTGGCCAAGGTTTACAAACACAGAATGTAAGGAAGTGGGGAGTAAATACAGAGAGCTAAAATGGACAGAAAAATGTAAAGGAAAAAAAGTACCATTTCCTTAAATAAGATAATGGTTAAGTTAATTATGATATATGCATATAATCACAAACAAAAATACAATATGTTGCTTATAGTTTACTGTTACAGTAAGTAGTTCACAAACATATAATGCCACCCCAACTCTTAATAATCTATACATGCATAGAAAAATGTCCACAAGAACATACATTACACTATTAATAATCTTGACATATTGGGACTGATAATGATGTTAATATTCTTTCTTCTCAACAACAATTTGTAAAATTTTTGGTGAACTTTGTAAATTTAAATTTTAAAATACAGTGACCATTAGTTTCAAGAGTAGAATTCAGTGATTTGTAACTTAAATACAAAACCCAGTGCTCATCACAAGTGCTCTCTTATTACCCATCACTTATCCAGCCCATCTCCCACCCACCTCCCTCCATCAACCCTCAGTTTATTCTCTTTTTTAAAGTTTTTATTTATTTATTATTGAGACAGAGAGAAACAGAGCATAAGTGGGGGAGGGGCAGAGAGAGAGGGAGACACAGAATCTGAAACAGGCTCCAGGCTCTGAGCTGTCAGTGCAGAGCCCGATGCGGGGCTCGAACCCACGAACTGTGAGATCATGACCTGAGCCAAATTTGGACGCTTAACTGACTGAGCCACCCAGGTGCCCCTATTCTCTATCTTTTTATTTTTTTTTTAATGTTTTGTTTATTTCTGAGAGAGAGAGAGCAAGTAGGGGAGGGTCAGAGAGAGAGGGAGACACAGAATCTGAAGCAGACTCCAGGCTCTGAGCTAACTGTCAGAACAGAGCCCAACACAGGGCTCGAACCCATGAACCGTGAGATCATGACCTGAGCTGAAGTCGGACGCTTAACAGACTGAGCCACCCAGGTGCCCCAATCTTTAAGAGTTTCTTGTGGTGGGGTGCCTGCGTGGCTCAGTCATTTGAGCGTCCAACTTTGGCTCAGGCCCTGATCTCATGGTTCATGTGTATGAGCTCCGCATCAGGCTCTGTGCTGACAGCTCAGAACTTGGAGCCTGCTTTGGATTCTGTGTTTCTCTCTGCTCCTCCCCCCACTTGTTCGTTCTCTCTGTCTCTCTCTCTGTCTCTCTCCCTGTTTCAAAAATAAATAAATATTTTTTAAAATTTTAAGTCTCTTGTATTTTCTTTTTCCCTCTCTTCTCTTTTCCTTCACCTTTCCTCTATGTTCATCTTTTCTGTTTCTTAAATTCTACATATGACTGAAATAATGTGTTATTTGTCTTTCTCTGACTTATTTCTATTAGCATAATACATTCTAGCTCCATCCACATCATTGAAAATGGCAAGATTTCATTCTTTTTGATGGGTAATTTTCCACTATATATATATATATAGTGGAAAATATATATACACACACACACCACATCTTCTTTATCCATTCATCAGTAGATAGACATTTGTGCTTTCTTCATATTTTGAATATTGTTGATAATGCTAGCATAAACATTGGGGTGGATATACCCATTTGAATCCATATTTTAGTATTCTTTGGGCAAATACTATGGTGGAATTGCTGGATCATAGGGTAGCTCTAGTTTTAGTTTTTTGAGGAACCTCCACACTGTTCCTCAGAGTGGCTGCACCCGTTTGCATTTCTATGATCAGTGCAAGAAGATTCCCCTTCTCTGCATCCTTGCCAAAACCTTTTGTTTCTTGTGTTGTTAATTTTAGCCATTCTTAAATGCTGTGAGGAGATATCTCATCATGGTTTTGATTTGTATTTCCCTGATGACGAGTGATATAAAGCATCTTTTCGTGTGTCTGTTAGCCATCTGGGTGTCTTCTTTGGAAAAGTGTCTACTCATGTCTTCTGCCCATTTCTTAACTGGGTTGTTTGGGTTTTTTTGGATGTTGAGCTTGATAAATTTCTTATAGATTTTGGATACTAACCCTTTATCAGATATGTCATTTGCAAATATTTTCTTCCATCCCATCAGTTGCCTTTTAGTTTTGTTGATTGTTTCTTTTGCTGTGCAGAAGCTTTTTATCTTAATGAGGTCCCAATAGTTCATTTTTGCTTTTGTTTCCCTTGCCTTTGGTGATGTGTCTCATAAGAAGTTGCTCCAGCCAAGGTCAAAGAGGTTGCTGCCTGTGTTCTCCTCTAGGATTTTGATGGTTTCCTGTTCACATTTAGGTCTTTCATGCATTTTGAATTTATTTTTGTATATAGTGTAAGAAAGTAGTTCGGGGGGAAATGGGTGACTCAGTTAAATGTCCGACTTTGGCTTAGGTCATGATCTCACGGTGTGTGGGTTCAAGCCCCAGTCAAGGGCTGTCAGTACAGAGCCTGCTTCAGATTCTCTGTCTCCTTCTTTCTCTCTCTGCCCCTCCCCCACTCATTCTCTCTCTCAACAAACAAACATTTAAAAAAAGAAAATGGTTCAGACTTATTCTTCTACATGTTGTCATCCACTTTTCCAACACCTTTTATTTAAAAAACTGTCTTTTCACTAACTTGACAATAAACTATTTGTGTAAAAAAAAACAACTGTCTTTTTTCCATTGGATATTCTTTCCTGCTTTGTCAAAGATTAGTTAACCATATAATTGTATGTCCATTTCTGGATTTTCTATTGTGTTCCATTGATCTATATGTCTGTTTTTGTGCCAGTACCATACTGTCCTGATGACTAAAGCTTTGTATTATAGTCTGAAATCAGGAATCATGATGCCTCCAGTTTTGTTTTTCTTTTCATGATTGCTTTGGCTATTTGGGGTCATTTCTCATTCCATACAAATTTTAGGATCATTTGTTCTAGCTCTGTGAAGAATACTAGCGTTATTTTGATAGAAATTACATTAAAAATTGATAACCCCCTAGCCAGACTTATCAAAAAAAGAGAAAGGACCCAAATAAATAAAATCATGAATGAAAAAGGAGAGAAAACAACTAACACCACAGAAATACAAACACTTAAAAGAGAATACTATGAAAAATTATATGCCAACAAACTGGACAATCAGGAAGAGATGGATGAATTCCTAGAAACTCACACACTACCAAACTTCAAACAGGAAGAAATAGAAAATTTGAACAGACCTATAACCAGCAAAGAAACTGAATCAGTAATCAAAAATCTCCCAACAAACAAAAGTCCTGGGCCAAATGGCTTCCCAGGAGAATTCTACCTGACATTGAAAGAAGAGTTAATACCAATTCTTCTCAAACTGTTCCAAAAAATAGAAATGAAAGAAAAATTTCCTAACTCACTCTCTGAGGCCAGCATTTCCTTGATTCCAAAACCAGACAAAGTCCCCACTAAAAAGGGGAATTAGAGGCCAGTATTCCTGATGAAACTGAATGCAAAAAATCTCAACAAGATACTAGCAAATAGAATTTAACAGTACATTAAAAGAATTATTCACTATGATCATCAAGTGGGATTTATTCCTGGCTGCAGGGGTGGTTCAATATTTGCAAATCAATCAACATGATACACCACATCAATAAAAGAAAGAATAAGAACCATATGAGCCTGTCAATAGATGAAAAGAAAGCATTTGGCAAAATACAGCATCCATTCTTGATAAAAGCCCTCAATAAAGTAGGGATAGATGGAACATACTTCAACATCAAAAAGGTCATATACAAAAGACCCACAGCTAATATCATCCTCAATGAGGAAAAGCTGAGAGACTTTCCTCTATGGTCAGGAACAAGACAAGGATGCCCACTCTCACCATTACTATTTAACATAGCACTGGGAGTGTTAGCCATAGCAAATCAGACCCCCACACACACACTATATATATATTCACTACAGCAGATGACATAATACTCTATGTAGAAAACACAAAAGACTCCACCGAAAATATTGCTAGAACTAATGAATTCACCAAAGTTGCAGGATATAAAATCAAAGTGCAGAATTCTGCTGCATTTTCTATGCACCAATAACGAGGCAGCAGAAAAAGAAATCAAAGAATCTATCCTATTTACAATTGCACCAAAAACAATAAAATACCTAGGAATAAATATAACTAAGAGGTAAAAGCTCTGTACTCTAAAAACCCATAAAAGACTTATGAAAGATAGTGAAGAGGATGCAAATTAATGGAAAAATATTCCATGCTCATGGACTGGAAGAACAAACATTGTTAAAATGTGTATACTACCCAAAACAAACTACACACTTAATGCAGTTTGTAAAATTTTGACAATTATTTTGTAATTAGAAAAATACTTCCACATATAAAAAGATGTGCAAATAAATAACTGTACAACCATATATTTGTTATCTATACAAAGAAATATCAGAAGATCTTCGCATATAAGGGTTGGTTTCCTTTTCCAGGGTTCTCTTACCTTTCAGGACGGAACTCCTCAGGCTCTGGCCATAGATCCGGGTCCCGGTGAAGAGTATAGGTTGGCACCATCACCACTGTCTCTTTGGGAATGAGCACACCACTGATTTCCACATCTCTCTTACAGACCCTTTCAAGTCTACCAGCGATTGGGTATAATCTGAGAGTTTCATTCAACACCATGTCAAGATACTCCATCTGTACAAGGGCATCATAAGTGGGAGGTTCCTAGAAGAAAGAAACAGATTTTGATGAATTGAGATTTGGAATCAATGTTCAACTCAGTCTATGCTCTAATACTGAATTGTTAGGAACCCTTGAGAAGCATGTATTTTGGTAAATGACATTTATGAGCATCCTAATGTCTATCATGTCCTGTGAGCTGCTCAGCTGTCCCCGACATGTGTCCAATAGTAGCAAACTGATGGGACAATCCCCTAAGTAGTGCCTAAAATCCCTCCAACTATGGCACACAATTTCAGTTCTAGGGAAAATTGTAAAGGGGATCAGAACCCTACTCTCAGCCCCACCTCCTGTTGTGGGAAGGGTCTCCTAGTTGTCCCTTCAGGGTTTCACTGTTTGTCAAAAAAGCTGCTCCAGCCCCAGAGGCCAGGTCTATTCATAAGTATAAATTCCAGTTTGGGAAGAGATCTGAAACAGTGTGGGCAATATGTACCTATCGCTTGGTGTTATATTTAAGAGCCAACAGTGGACAGGTTAAGAGTTCAGTCAGGATCCAGTCACCCTGGCTCCTAGCCTGGCTTCTTCACATTATTTTGTGATAGTGTAAGAAAGTTATTGTAGCTCAGCTTCCTGTGTTGTTACATAGAGATGATTAGAGTTGACCCTTCAGAGGGTGGGTGGATTTATCCAAAATCCATGTAGACCCCCATATTTCCCAGCCTATGTGAATTGAGGGGAAAACAATTTGCAAATGGGCTATAAACTAAAAAGATGTGAGTTTGGGGCCAAACATTGAAAAGCAAGTGAGCAACACTCTAGCTCCTTGTTTCCCAGCCAACATGAAGTCACTAAGGTCCAGATAATGCAGGTATAAGTGGAGCCTCTTTACCCTGTATCCCCCAAATAACCATATGGAGGAGAGACTCACTCTATCCTCTACTAACACCCATGCTAGACATGAAAATGTGAGTTACAAGTAAACCTTTGTTATGAAAACCCACTAGATTTGACAGCTAATCTGTTACTTAGGCATAAGCGAGCCTATCCTGACCCCCTTGGCCCGTATGACCCACTCACCTTATTGGGGAAAGTCGCATCAATCTCCTCCTGCAGTTTCTGCTGGACATCAGGGTGAGTGGCCAGTTCATACACAAGGAAGGAAAGAGAAGTGCTGGTTGGCTCATAGCCAGCAAAAATAAAGATAACAGATTGGGCCACGAGCTCCAGATCAGACAAAGCTAAAAGGTGAAGAGAAACATTTAAGCTAAACCAGGTGAATGTAAAACGGGGCACCTGGGTGGCTCAGTCGGTTAAGCGTGCGACTTCAGCTCAGGTCATGATCTCATGGTCCGTGGGTTCATGGCCCGGGTCAGGCTCTAACCTGACTGCCAGCCCAGAGCCTGGAGCCTGTTTCAGATTCTGTATCTCCCTCTCTCTCTGACCCTCCCCTGCTCACGTTGTCTCTCTCTCTCAGAAATAAATTTAAAAAAACTTTTTTAAAGCAGGTGAATGTAAAACATCACAGTTTAGATAATGAGAAATCTGTTTGAAACTCCTAAATCCTTCAGGGGGAAAATATAAAAGCAATTCAGAATCAAACTCAGAGTGGTTTCACTCTGATTTCAATCTTCCAGAGTGAGAAAGAGGCAAAACATGTCTTGATCTGGTTATTCCCAAGGTTTATACTATTCTTAGCCATCTGTTTCTGGTTATGCCACCCTCCCCACTACCAGAGGTGGGTAATTTCAGAAATGGTATTTCTCTCTAACATACACTGTGTTATCAGTTTGTCTGTTGGAGAATCCTAAAAGTATGCCAGCCCTAAGTAACATGGGATGGCATTCTGCCCCAGGAAAATTTAAATTCTTTCAGCTAAAATACAGATTAAATTTTTTGAGAGTTTGCAATGCAAAGGTTTAACCGTCAGGAAAATTAAATGATCTTTCATCTAAACATCCATGCAGGGAAGAAGAATATAATGTTGGGCTACAGATAAACTTGGTACTCTATGTGTGGTTCATGGACCAGCAGCATCTGCAGCATCTGGGAGCTGGTTAAAATGAAGAATCTCAAACTTCACCCTAGAACTATCGAATCAAAATCTGAGCTTCATGAGCTGTGGTGATTTGTAGGCACAATCTAGTTTGAGAAGTATACCTTTGAGTATGGATTATACCTTTGAGAAGCTTCAGCTAAATAGAAGACCTGGGGCACAACTCTTCCAATGGATGATCTCAGATATGTACAGAAACTATAACACAGACAAAAAGCTAGAAGAGTGGCATCTGATTCTAGTCTAATCAACCACATCAAAACAGCAAGAGAAACAAGGACATTGGTCAGCATGATCTATAGACTAACAGAATCCAGTGAATGGAATTAGCAATGCATATTCAGTCAAGCCTGAATGTCACTTTCCTTAGAGAACGGTCCCACTCTGAATCATAACCAAATTTTTTATTTTCTCCTGGAAGAAACTCAGTATGGTCAAGCTTTAACCTCTTTGATCAGAACTGAATTAGGACCATTAGATACTTAAAGCACTGAAATTAGCATGGTACCTGCCACAAACACATAATTCACAATGAAGAACAATACGAAATGAGTGCAAGAAAGGTCTACAGAGTTCTAATTTCCCAGTAAGCCTTCCGTGATGCTGTAGATAAATTCAAACATCATATTCTTTCCCTTGATTACCATGAACCCCATGATAATCTTTAGAGCTGTACTAATCAATATGGTAGACACTTGCCCAATCTGGCTATTTAAATTTTAACTAACTAAATACAATATAAGATTCTGCTCTTTAGTGACACTAGCCACATGTCAAATGCTCAATAACCATATGTGCCTAGTGGTTCTATACTGAACCAGGAATATATAGAATATTTCCTTCATCGCAGAAAGTAGTAGAACTAGATAGATAGACTAGACTAGCCTAGAATAGATATGGACACAGTATAGACATATTTTAGCAGTGTGATGGAATAAGCCCATCCTTTTCCTCTGGAATCAACTATTAAATACTCAAGAATTCTGTGAGATGGTTGTCAAACCATAGATACCCTGAAGTTAACCATGATGGGAATATTTCTGTCATAGACACAACTATAAATCAAAGTTCCCTTGGGGCACCTGCGTGGCTCAGTCGGTTGAGCGTCCGACTTCGGTTCAGGTCATGATCTCACGGTTCATGGGTTCAAGCCCTGCATCAGGCTCTGTGCTGACAGCCAGCTCAGAGCCTGGAGCCTGCTTCAGATTCTGTGTCTCCCTCTCTCTCTGACCCTCCCCTGCTCACGCTGTCTCTCTCTCAGAAATAAATAAAACATTAAAAAAAAAGCTCCCTTTTCTTTCAAAGAGCATAATCACATCACTTGTTACGGATAGATATAGAAATATTTATGTGTATCACTCCTGTATGAATATATCTGATGTTTTTAGTTGGTCTACTGAGAGAAAATAGAAGCAAAGAAACCCTAGTAACAATGAGCACTCCTAGATCCCCAATTTTGATTTCTAAATACCATTCTCACTAAAAGGAAACAGAGATTCTTGGAGAAATGGCTGATTCCAAGGCTCATCAGAGGAAACAGAGGAGAAGCCTGGAATGTCTCACACCAGAATGCTAGGAAATCCTCAAAAACTAATATGGTAAATGGAAACAGAATACTCTATGCACTGTAATGGTGGATGTATATCATTATATATGTATGTATAATGTATATATATAATATGTATAATATATATCAATATATGTATATATGTATTATATTTTTTTTACACACACACACACACACACACACACACACACACACACATATACGTCAAACCCACAGAATGGAAAACAACAAGGATGAACTGTCATGTAAATTATGAATTTATTTGCATGATAATAATGTGTCAATGTAGGCACAATTATTGTAACAAATGTACCACATGGGGAGGGATTTTGATAATGAGGGATGTTGTCTATATGTAGGGCAGAGGGAATATGAGAAATCTCTGTGTCTTTCACTCAATTTAATAAACCTAAAATTGTCATAAAAGTGAATTGAAAACATTAAAAAAGAAGAAAGAAAAAAGAAAAGGACACAGGAGCCCACTTGAAAGGGCCTCCAGAGGACAAATCTGAGAGAACTGAAGATCTAACTAAAGAATGATGTCAGGGGGAAGTCGAAGCAAGATGGCGAAGAAATAGGGAGCTCCATGCATTTCACTTGTACCCATCTCTCAAACAGAGAAGGCCTGAAGCCATAGGACACTGAGCCACAGGAGTTTGGGAAGAAAAAGAGACAGAGTGCACTGGGAAGGCAACCTCATAAGTGCGTGAGTGTGAACTGGGGAAATAAAAGTGGGCCAGGACCGGTGACACAGACGGAAGGGAGGGAGCCTGACTTGGGGGCAGCCGCGGTGAGTTGCGGGGAAAAGTCTAATGAGCAGCTGAAACTGCTCATAGAACTATCCCTGGAGAAGAAAAAAACCTTGGCTTGGAAGGAGAGTGTTTTTAGTTCTAGCTGGGGTGCTGACTTTGAACGATGTGACCTCTGGTCCCAGAGAGCACCAGGAAAACTATTCTGCTGTGCTCCCAGCACCATCCCCAGCGGCATGGACACTGCAAGCCTGAGGCTGCATTCCCCAGGTTTGACCTCTGGCAGCGCAGAGGCTGCGGCCGAGGCTGAGTTCCTGGGGATTGACCTCAGGCAGCATGAAGGCAGCTGGTCAAGGCTGAGTTCCCCCTGCTTGAGCTCTGGCAGCGCTGAGGCGGCAGATCCCAGGCAGTGCTGCCGCTTGACCCTGGAGGATCTGAGGCTGTGCCACTCAACACCCCCTCCTTGGTGGCCCCTGGTAGCAGTGAAGCAACGACCTGCGGGACTGTGTTTCAGGCAATATCAATAAAGCATGCAGAATGGGACCTGGAAACGAGGTGGGGAGTAGGGCATAGAACAGAGCCCTACCTTGGCTATGCCCACAGCACAGGGAGATCGGACCCAAAGGAGTGATTTGCAATGCTTGGTTGGAGAAGGGACTGGGGCGCTGCCATTTTTTCTCCCCACAACCAACAAGGCAGGGCCTCAGGGAGGGGCTGGTGGGACACAGTGGAGGCTAAGACTGGCCTACACCAAACCACACCCAGCCCCGCTAGAGAGCTGCTTTATTTTACCGGAGCCCAGGGCAAGATCAACATGGATACACTGCGGAGATAATTCCAGATAATTCTTTCTATTCGGATATATTCTCCCTTGTCTCATTCATAACCCTCCACTCTGCTGGTTGGGGCACTCTGGTCACTAGTTTGCTTAAACAGTCACATTTAATCCATTCTCTAGATGTACATTCTACACCTCCACAGCTACCTTTTTATCTCTCTCTCTCTCTGGAGTAATCAGACTATATAGTTTCTCTTAGTAATATTTTTGTTTCTTTCTACTCATCCCTAAACATATTCTACAATTTCTCCCTCTGGATGAAGCCTCTTAGTCTCTCTGCCTGGTCATTTCATTTCCAATTTCCCTTCCTCCCTGGCCTGTCATTTCTCTCCTTGTATATGCTCTTCCATCAGTAGTGCATATACCTGGCTCTTTATTTGTAGCTAGGAATTCTGGTTTTATGCCTTTACACTGTCCTTTGTCTTTTGGGTTTTTTATTTTTCTTTTCTTCTTTGTTTTATATTTTATTTTTATTTTTATTATTTGTCTTCCCTCCTTCCTCTTTTTTTCTCTTGTGTTTTCTTTTGTTTTGTTTTTTGTCCCTTCCTTTTTGTTTTTACCTTTTTCTCCGGTTTGCATGTTTGTTGGATTTGTCTGTGCGTTTGTGTGCCTTTGTACCCTGTGTGTTTGTCTGTCTGTTTTCCTTTCCAAGGCTACCTCAGGAAACAAGCCAAAGTACACATGGTGGAAGTCCCAAACACCACTACGAGTAGGGAAATAAAATAACCAAAGTCTCAACAAGAGAAACCAAGAGACACCATTCAAAGAACACTTCCTGAACAGACAGGCCCTAGACAAAGATCCCTCTTTAATACAGCAGCACCCACAGGTACAGAGTGCATAACAAGATTTTAAAATTAAGAGATAGAAAGATAACCAAAACGATGAAATGAAGAACTCTCCTCCAAAGAAATTCCAGGAAGAAATGAGAGCTAAAGAACTGCTCAAAATAGATATAAGCAAAATAACTAAACAAGAATTTAGAACAATAGTCATAAAATTAATCGCTGGGCTTGAAAAAGGCATGGAAG